AAATTATCCCGAACTCTATTATGCTGAAGTGAGCATAATTGTTGATTGATATATTTTGTGTATTAATAAAGGTAGAGATGTCCATGACGCAGGGTGGAGACGGAGAAGCCTTCCCATCCACATCCCAGCAAATTTTTCCATTTATTTTTACTGGGATCGGGGCGAGGATACCACATATAATTTTTACTTATTTACTATTCTCTTTTGAAAAACGGTTATTTTAAAGTGAACGGGTCCATATATTTACTCATTTACTATTCTCTTTTAAAAAAGTGGTTATTTTAAAGTGAACAGGTTTATATAATTTTGTATTAATTTTTACTCATTTACTATTCTTTCTTACCGAATATTTATTTTAAAGTTAACAATTAATAAAAAAAAATTAAATAAATAAATATATATTTAATATAGGTTAAAAATATATTTATATTAAGCAGTCACTCCTCCCCTATATTAAAAATTAATACGAAATTTTTTTATTAAATAAATAAATAAATATATTTAATATAGGTTAAAAGTATACTTTTGTGTTTTACTATTCCTTTTAGTTTTTACTGTGCCGTAAAACACAAAAGTGAAAATCGCTATCTGTTACTGTTTCACATCCCACGGGCCATCGAATCGGTCGATTTTGCATTTACATATTTAACGATTTTCCGCGGCTGAAAGCTATTATGGCTCGCAGTTGCAGCTTTCTTCTCTCTCCCGCTATCTAAGCTGGTAATGTGATCTCTTTTTCTGAAGCTTCAATCTAATTTTTGGACTATGTTATTGAAATGAATTGATTCTAGTATTGTTCTTGAATCCTTCTTCGACTATGTCCGCTTCCGGAGGCATCCCGGATTGACGCACCGATTTAAGGTTTTTTTTGGAAGCTTAATATGGTAGATTTTGTTTTTGCGTTCTATGAGTGTTGAATCGATGTGATGACGAAAAGAATAGCGTTCTTCTTTTTGTACTCGTAATCATTGGTTGAAGGACGTGAGAGTGAAATGATCAGAGTAAGGTTATTGCTTCTGGAGTTGTTCATATATCTGCTTCGATTGAATTGTGCAAGTCAAGTACATTTTATTTTTATGGAGTCGGCTCAATCAAGGACGGTGTCGCTAATTTTCAATACCGTGAGATTTATGGATCAAATTAACAAGAATGTGGAACAATCCATGATTTGAAAACGTTGTGATTAATGTTTAAGATGCTTTTTTTGGGGAATCGTTTTGCATTGTTATTTGCTCTGGCTCATTTTTCTTCTTTTTGCGTTCTATACTGCCAGAAATATCATACGTAACATGAGTACAGTACAATCACCAAAGCATCCGAAGTTTATTTCCGAGGAAGGGGCTGACATTTACTCTAGAAGTAAACCTGATGGTATGTTTTTCCCCCTCGTTTTGATGGAAGGAAAATCTATGTTCGTGTTTTCTTGCTCTGGATTTGTCCATTTGGCTATATTAGACTTGTTCATTTTTATCATTCGACCAAACTTGAACAATTTGAAATGATTTTTAAAACAAATAAAGAACTTTCAGACGTTCTTATTACTGAAAATTGAGAAACAATATAGGTGTTTTATATGACTTCACTTATCATCTAAGCACGGCTTTCTATATTGCTACTGCAGGTATCAGATTTCGTTTTGTTTCTTACAATATTTTAGCCAGGTAGGCAACACATTTCCGATTCATTTCATTCTTCATTCTTCATTCTTAAGTTTAGTTTTATGCTTCTTTCCGTTCAATAATGTTGTTTGCTGCAAAACATCTTGTTCGGGTCAGGATATATAAGCAAAAGTGGATTGCCGTAGCAAAAATGTAATAGAATATTAGCGTTAGGACATTTGTAAACACATTGAATATAATTCATCCTTATTGATGATTTGGGAATCTACTATTATAACTTGTTTGTATACTATTAAAATTATTGAATATAATTCATCCTTCTTGATGATTTTGGATTCTACATTTGATAAAAACTGTAAACCATAGATAAGGTTGATAGCTGTTTCGTAAGATGTCAATGTATTGAAATTGGATTCAGGTGTGGTTTTAGTTTTTCTGTTCAATAGAATTCAGAAATCTGATTTAACACATCTATATATAATGGTAATGGCTATAAAATTAGCTATAAATCTAAACCAATAAGTCCTGTGAAAATATTACCGGGTCAGTTATGTTGCACTACACAGGATATTATGTTGGAATTTGTTGTAAATTGTCATAAGTTTTTTATTTAATTAGTTATTAACCAGTTGATTAAATAAGAATATTATTAATTTGGTTTTTAATTTTGTAACCATTTTAATATTAATCTTATTTAATTCCATAACGTTTCATGATTCAAACAATTGTCCCTATATAATGGGCTTGTCTAGAGGTTGTTGATATCGGAATTTGACATCGGAATTGATATCAAAGTTTGAGTGAGTTTTGTGTGTCACATTGTATTTCTTGAGTGACATATTGGTGAGAGTCTTTGTAGTGTGATAGTGAAGTATTCACTTGTAACACTTTGATTATTAGTGATTGGTTGCTACCCGTGGATGTTGGGAAACTTTTTCTCTCCGAACCACGTAAATATCTTGGTGTCTCTTTGTGTAATTCCGTTTATTGGTGTTGTGAGTACATTTGTTCCGCTTTTGGCGCACAACAGAATTATGCCTGCTTTCAAACTCAAGAAGCCTTTTCATCATGTTGTAATTGTAGCAAACACCCATCTTTACTGGTAAAATTTTATTTTCTAGGTTTAAGGCTATACAGTCGCTTATAGGGCCTGTTGTATTGAAGAACATCTTATCCCTCCAATTTGTAAAGAATTGATATTTATTACAGGGATCCAGAATGAGCTGATGACAAGCTTGCCAAGGCCAAATAGCTTTTATCACGCCTAGCTCGATTCAAGACATCAGTGTCTGAAAGGTTTGAATGCACACCCTCAGTACCTTTGGCTGGTGACTTCAATTCAAACCCTGGGGACAAGGTTCGTCATTTATCTTGATTTATCATTTGCATAGATTTTTCTCGTCCTGAAAAATGGTCTCTGACTATTTAATTGTAATTAGATTTGAATGAGTTTTTTCTTGGTTAGTGACATTGATACAGGCTCATGAGCATAAGCTGACAAGATGACATGAGAAATACTATTTTACATAATCTCATATGGCAGAAACATATGTAGAGAAATATTAGGTAGAGCTTGGCTAGATAATCTTGAACACCTTTACCTTATAATTTTTTCCCGAAAACATGACCCTTTTTTTCTTGTTAGAATTATCTCTTATGTAGTTAACCACTTAACATGAGATCGTACTTCAAATAATCTTCCTTACAAAAAATTAAACTACATAGTTTAAAAATGAAGAAAAAAGGCAAACAGTTTGGTATGATTACTGGTGAAAGCAAATAGTTTGGAAGGATTAGCCGTAAGTCAGTATCCAAGCTGAGAATAGGTCGAAGGATATTTGTGTAATTTCTTATGGAGTAGTTGACCTCTTTAGATTTAATTATCTAATGTCTAAGAATTATTATTTAGATTGACTGGTTCCTAAGAGATTTATTTTAGGTTTAACATTAGGGTGTTTTAATTTAGATTTACTGTTATCCTCCCTAAAAATAAATAAGAAAGACAGCAAGTTACAACATGGTATCATAACATAGCTACTGTCAAAATCCTCCATCAACAAGACCCTCAGACTCAGCCACTCAAATCAACTGAATGAAGTTGCTAAAAATCCTCTACCTCTTCAAGCACATTGCAAAATGAAAAAAAAAAAAAAAAAATGCAGATTGCCTCTTTTATTTCCAGCAAGCTGCAAATAATCACTAGTCCATTCTTTCATCTTCTGACTCTACAAGTCCGATTAGCTTGCTAGAACTCCCAGAATCAGAATGGCCGGAGATTATTGGTGGGTTGCCCAATTATAGCTTCCCAAGTGATCCTCTTCCAATTGCTGCTGAATTTGAATTCACAATGGAATAAGTTACTGACTCGGTAATTTAAATCTTGTCCCTCATGTCTTTCATATCATTGACTGCTGCTTTCATTTAAAAGTGAGATTATAATTTGGTCTCTGTTCGGTATGTCTTGTTTGAATACGGTCCCAATCAATATTGACAGTAACATTAAATACTTGGTACTATTTCTGTACTCTTCTGAAAAGCCGTACTATTGTAGCACTTAAATCTCACCACAACTTCGTAGAACCATCTAGGAGTGTTGCATTATTAATGAGCCCTTCAAATTTAAACCAAAAGAACGTATTTTAGACCGTGAAAATAGTCTGAAAAAATTGGGTCGTAAATTTGAAAAGGGAAAAACAATGTAGAAGGTGAGAAAGTGTAAGATCCCACATCTGTTGGAGAGAGGAACGAAGCATTGTTTATAAGGGTGTGGAAACCTCTCCCTACCAGATGCGTTTTAAAAACCGTGAGGCTGACAGCGATACGTAACGGGTCAAAGCGGACAATATTTGCTAGCGGTGAGCTTGGGCTGTTACATAAAGGAAATGTTATAGTTGTCAAGTTTGTCCGTTCACCTACCTTCTTTTTGTAATAACAAAGAAGCATGTCCTCTTAGAAGGTATCAGATCGAGTTCAGTATTAGACTCTATTGTGAGATCATTGTTAGGAACCATGGACTTCCACAATGGTACGATATTGTTCATTTTGAGCATAAGCTCTCGTGGCTTTGCTTTTGGTTTCCCGAAAAGGCTCTACCAATGGAGATGTATTCCTTACTTACAAACCCATGATCATCCCCTTAATTAACCAACGTGGGACTCACTCCCAACGATCCTCATTTTTCATTGCTAAAACATTGAAGTTTAATCCGTGTTTATTTTAAATTCGCCGTCTAAATATAAATTAAAACGTCCAAAATGTCTTAGTAGAAACATGTTTAGCTAACCAAACCACCTTTTAATAGTTTCTCTTATTTCTTTTACTTCAGCTGTTACTTCTCTTCTAGGCTTCCAAAATCACTAGCTTTACAAATAACAATTTCTAGTGCACAATAATTATAGCAACTTTTACTAGCCACCAGATCACAATTCTTTAATACAATGTTGAAAACAAAAGGAAAAGGTTCTTTTGTTTTTAAAGTGGACCCACACATATTCTTCTAAGCCTAGACACACATAACTTGGTACAAACACACATGACCCTAGCTCCATCACTCATTCTTCTGCCTTAATAGCATTTACATACAATTAGCCATAGTAGTATAAGGAAAAACAGGCATTGAGAAATAAGGATCAACCATAGCCACTTCAACTCTCTTCATCCTCTCATCTTCATAAGCATCACAGCAACACTCATTGTAAAAGGCTTTGGCCTTCCTTAAAATATAGCTGATTGTTGAGGTAAAGTACCACATGTTCCATTGAAGAACTTGTCTAGCAGCTCCAAACTGAGTCGTCTTTCTTCTTCGTCCCTGCTTCTTCACCCTTCTTCTTCCCTTGCCATCTCCAGGCTGCTCACTCTCATGATGCCCATGTTGGGAAGTGCTGAAATGACCAGTTCTTTCTCTCTCTAAAAGCTCTCTCCTATGGCACTTTTTTTCTTTCTTCTGAAGGCTTTTTAAGCCTAGAACTTGGATGGAAACAGACATTAACGGAAGAAAGCCAGAGAAAACTTAGGGGAGGGATCCTTTTTCCCCTTTTCTTTTCTTTATGAATTCTACTGAGTTGGTGAAGCTTTTCTGAATGCTTTTATAGCAGAACTTTGGGGATTGAAGGAACGTTCTTTCACATTTTGATGGGCCTCTATAGTACTTGAACATGTGAAAATTGGACCACATTTAGCTGTCTCCTTGTGCTGTCTTTCTCAACCATCAAGCTTGGTGAAAACTATGGGCTCTAGGTAAGTTCTCTATCAAAAGTTATACGCGATTGGTCTTTTATATATACACAGATCCTGATTGTTCGGACTAATTTGTACACAACTTGACTTTGCTCACAAGAGAATCACCTAACACGATTATATTTCGTTGTCAAGATAACTCGTATAAGAATCTTTTGCTTGATGTATGCTATACAACGTATATATATTTTTGTTTTTGTAGTTCAATCCATCTCTTCAAGTGAAAATATTATTTGATGATCGTATGAAAATAGATTGTTCTAGAACATGGTAACTGTCAATTCTATTTCTGGTTTTACTTCTTGGTGCATCATAAAGTTTTTTTCACTGATATTTCTTAACAATCTGAGCTTTTTTTTTTTTTTGTATAAACTTTTTGGGTTATCAATTATAATGGACAAATATTAAATGAGTATTGTTATAATCAATGACCGCATTTAATTCAAATAAAAGGTTAGTGGCTTAGCTACTCAAGTTTAATGTTAAATGCTGTTGATAACATTTAATTTTTATTTTTTATTTTTGTTTTAAAATTGCTATCGTTTTCTTCTCTGACAGTTTTATCTTTCTCAACGTCTGGAAAACCACTTTTTCATTTGATAACTCTTTTGATTTTGATATATATATATATATATATATATATCTAGTGTTTGAGATATTTGATTGATCTTGCTTGCAGAGTAATTCGAATCTTAATCAAGTGTTCTTGCCTTGAGATATTTGATCAACAAGAATCATTCAAGCTAGACATGATCGATCTTGCTTATGGAGTGATTCGAATCTCAAACAATGTTCTTGCCTTGAGATATTCGATCAACAAGGTAATCCGAATCTTACTCCCCTTGCAGTGATTCCTTTTATGTATATATATATATATATATATTAAAGAAAGATTATTAAATGGAGTTTTAATCAAAAAAAAAAAAAGCGAAATGAAATGAATGAAAGTGGAATTTGATGGCAGGTAATAGTTGAAAGAGGATAGACTCTTCACCCCCTCAAATGGGTCCGAACATTACCTGATCTTAGTGCTCTCATGGTCGGTTTTGTTCATTTCCTCCATGTCAGATTTCTGACTCCCCTTGCTTCAGTTTGCAGGTAAAATCTCTCCTTTTCTCACTCGGCTGTGTGATGTGTGTAGGTATGTTTTTTTTTCCTTTTTTATTCATATTTATTAGTGTATGTTTGATAAATATTTACTATCCGTAAAAACGAAAAAACGAGTCTTTGTCTAAAGAAATGCCTTGAGAAAGGACAATTGGAATTGATCCGTTGCCTCTCTTTCCTCCCTCAAGAGATGTTTATTTCCGACCTTTGTTTGGTCGGTTTTGTTATCACCACAATGGTATAATACTGTCCACTTTGAACATAAGCTCTCATGATTTTGCTTTAGGCTTCTCCAAAAGGCCTCACCCCAATGGAGAGAATATTCCTTGATTATAAACTCATGATCATTCTCTAAATTAGCCGATGTGGGACATTCATCCAACACTTCCCCTCAAACAAAGTACGTCTCCCTTTAACTGACTCCTTTTTCTTTTGGAGTTTTAGTCATTTTTTACTATGCCTTCGAGGAGAATTTTTCTTTTAGAGTCTTTTGTTCGACATTTGAGGATTCTATTGTCATAGTTAAGTTTAGGGCATGACCTCACCCCAATAGAAACGACTCTCCACAATGGTATGATATTGTTCACTTTGAGCATAAGCTCTCATGGCTTTGCTTTGGTTTTCTCCAAAAGACCTCACCCCAATGGAGAGAGTATTCCTTGATTATAAACCCACTAACATTCCCTAAATTAGCCGATGTGGATAAGATGATACATATGACCTTCCGGTGGAATTATTTGAATTATGTAATAAATTGACAATTTTGCCCCTGTTCATGTTTTTTTTTTCTTTTGTGATTATTTTATTTAACGTGTGTGGGCACCTCCTATTGAAGAGGCCGGTTCACATCGTACTATATAACACTTTCCAAGATTCCATTTCAAGCATATTGCATTTCCGATTGGGAACTCTTCTATATATGAATTATATTTTAAATGATAATATATATATATATTTTGTAACTATTCGTATTCGTGATTTGGATTAAGATTTGAAATTTAGAATCGACACTTGATGACCCTGATATTTTCTTGCATCTCGTGTTACGTTACTTCTCACTTCTAGGAGTCTATTCCTACAAACCAACACAAATCCTTCCAGCATGCTTCTTGTAAGAGTGAAACCTATCCCGACCTTCTTTCGAAATGTTTCTTCTAAGAGTGAAAACTATCTTTATGAACCAATACAAGTCATTTTGACATGTTTTACCCTCACTCACGCATCTTAGAAAACTTGTCAAGAGATCACCCAAAATGGAATTATTCCTCAACATGAGTCCTTCCTGCATGTTTCTTTTAAGAGTGAAAATTATCTCCATAAACCAACACAAATTATACCAGAATGTTTCTTCTTCCCATAAATCAACACGAGTCCTTATAGCATGCTTTGTTCACACTCGCATGCATCGTTGAAAAATTCTCAAGAGATCACCCAACATAACCATGTTTAACGGTAAGTGTGAAGTTTCTATGATTGAGTTAGCCACCGAACCACCGAACAGGAAGTTATACCTTATTGGTATAAATAGGAACCTTTAATTCTTTTAAACATTTCTTAGCTATTCAATCCTCAAGATTCCTCTCATTCGAATGTGATCTTGATTCATTTTATGTACTTTTCTTTGACTCGGGTGTATATATATGCACACACATTCACATACATTATATAATTTCAATAAGTTTGATTATAACAATAAAAAAAAGTAATTTGATATGATTATTATTATTTTGTAGATATGACATTTTCCAAACATGCCCTTACTCATACGCTCGAGTAATTGAAACTCGAAGGGATCTTTGTTTTCTATTATTGACAAATGATAACGACCTATATCTACTATATAGTTATAAATATATTTAACTTGAAGGGGTTTTTAAAATAAAGAATTTTCTCATTTTTAACCATTTTAAAATACAAATAAAATAAATTTCTAAACAAAAATAGTTAATTTATTATCAAATTAGTTCTTTTCCTATTCAAAATAACTTCAAAAGAATTTGTCAAAAATTATACTTTTGTATTTTTAAATTTAAAGGTATTAATAAAAAAATTTAAAATTGAAGAGTATTTTTGAAATTTAGTACTAACATTTCTATTCAAATTAGCGTGATATTTTAGATTTTTTTAAAAGTTTAATATTATCAATCAGACTTCTACAATTTTAAGTATTTTTTATAAATAAGCTATGAAGTTTGAGATTATTTTTATTAGTTTGATTTAGCACCTCGATATTGACTCTCCGCCACTTAGGACTTTAGTATGTTCAAAGGATTGGGCCGTTTAACTATTTAAAGATGATGAAATAAGAGCATAGTTAATAAAATACTTATAAATTTTGTAATTAGTCTGAAAAATAGTCTCAAACTTCAAAAAAAAATCTCAAAGATATATTGATCGTTAATGCTATGTTTAAAAAATATCAATGCAATTTTAAAGGTAGCAATACCCTTATCCTTTATAAAAAAAAATGTTCAAACAAGTGTTTAATGTCAATATATAGATGTAAACCATGACATCTCATAGATTATCTCCCGTATTGATATTATTTTTGAAAATTCATTAGTATTTTTGAAACATTGCACAGCAATAAGATCAATTTTGAAATATTTGAAAGAATTTTTATGGTGTTTTTGAAATTTTTTAAAAAGTAGGGTATAAGGAAATTTTTTAAAATTCAAGGAATTTTTTTATAATATTTTTAAAAATTAAAGGGTATTTTTTTAATTTCTTTTGAAAGTTCCTCCCGAATTAACCGGTAATTTTTTTAAAGTTTAAAATGTATTTTTTAGATTTTTTTTTTCCGAAAAATTTAAAGAATTATTGAAATTTTTTAAAATTGAGGTATTTTTGAGATAAATACAAAATTAGAGTATTTTTTATTAATTTTAATTAGAATTTGCACTAATTAAATGGAATAATTGTAGTGGGGTCCATGCAATTTTGTGACGAGAAAAAAAAAACAACCCCAAACTACGACCCACTCATTACTATTATTATTATTTTATTTTACTTTTGTACTTATTTTTATTATTATATATATTTTTAAATTGTCTTTTGTACTCATATACTTTGCCTCAAATATTATATTTGATTCATTATATTAATTATTTAAAATTTATTTATTTCAACTAAAATTATAAACAAATTTTATTTAAGAAAAAAAAAACTCATTCTAGAGGGTTGCATAGCTATAGGTTGTCGTGTAAAAGCACATACCCACGGCTAGCAAATATTGTCCTATTTAAGCTTTTTCTTTCGAATTTCTCTCAACAGTTTAAAACGTGTCTATTAGAAAAGGTTTTCAGGTGTTTGTTCTCCTCCTCGACCAATGTAGGACATCACAATCTACCTCCCTTCGGGACCCAACGTCCTCGCTGACACTTGTTCCTTTCTCCAATCGATGTGGGACCACCACTAAATCTGCCCCCCTTCGAGGCCCAACGTCCTTACTGGCACACCGCCTCGTATCTATCCCCCTTCAAGGAGCAACGAGAAGGCTGACACATCGTTCAGTGTCTGACTTTAATACCATTTGTAATAACCCAAGGCACTAGCAAATTGTTTACTTGGAAGTATCATTGTATTATTTTTTTTTAATTTCATCTAATTTGACCCAAAAAAAAATTAAATAAATGTTGCAATTTTACCTTGTTTTAATTTAATTTTTGATAATTCACTTACTAATTTTAATACAAAATTGCATTAATTTACCTATTTCAATAAAATTTAGTTTTAGACCCATGCACAAA